TACGGCGACAACAATGGCGGAGGAGTCGAAGGAAAACGAAGAGAAGGTGAAGCTTTTCGTCGGACAAGTTCCGAAACACATGTCGGAGACTCAGCTCCTCGCATTGTTTCAGGAATTTGCCGTCGTCGACGAAGTCAACATCATTAAGGACAAGATAACGCGAGCTTCCCGAGGTTTTTTTTTTCCTCTTTAATTTCTTCCTCTGTTTTCTCCGTNTTCCTCGTTAAATTTGGGATTTTTTTTTTATAGAAGTTTCCTCTGTTTCGAGATTAATTGAAATGGGTTTTTTATTCGCATGATTGGTGTTGGTTTCTTGGATTCTAAAAACCCCAATTTCTCTAATTTCTTTGTCCTTGATCTGTTTTCTCCGTCGTCTTGGTTTAAATTTGGAATCTTTTTGATTTGGGAGTTTCCTCTGTTTTTGTCTGTTCGAGAATGTGAGGAATGTATTTTGATTGCTTGTGAAATCTCTGAAAACCCTAATTTTTCTTTTGTCTCTCTCTCCTGGAAATTTTAGGATGTTGTTTTGTGATATGTCCTTCAAGAGAAGAAGCAGATAAAGTGGTCAATGGTTGTCATAACAAGAAGACATTGCCTGGGGTAAGTTTAATTTTCCTCACATTTTATCAATTATTTGGAAGCTGTTTTTCCTTAATTTTTTCTGATGCTCGAATGTTATGTTTATGTGTACCTTAAACTAATTGATCTTAGTTGCACATTTTTTCAAGCTGGTTGGAATCTCGAGATTGCTTTTTCTTCTTTTTATCTGTTTTTGTAGTTTCTCGATCTGCATTGTACTTTTTCTCCCTGTTAAATTCTGGATTTGGTTATTTCACAGCTTTGCATGTTGTTGTTATACATGAATCTGATTTGGTTGATTAAAATCTAATGACATGGGTTTAAAATGTTCTCTAGATAATTTCTTCAAACCCAAGTAAACACATTGATTCACTATAGATATATATTGAGCCCTCTTTGGTTGAGAACTTGATTCATCTTAATAATAGGGAAAAGGAGAAGCTAATTAACATAGTGTATATCATTGCTTCTTTCGATCTTTCCTTGGCCTTTCAGATTAGGATGCTTGTCGGTCATATACACTCTTATCGCCTCTCACGCATTTTTCCTTATTATGTTATGTACAGGCATCCAGTCCGTTGCAAGTTAAGTATGCAGATGGAGAGTTGGAAAGACTAGGTACGCAAAATGCTTTGTTTTGTGTCCACGCAAAAAGATTTGTTCTTTTTTTGTGAAAAGTTGCCGCGTTTTAGTATTTTTTGTATCCCATCAATCTGATGGATGTTCTTGACTGTTCTTGAAATCCAGAGCACAAACTTTTCGTTGGTATGCTTCCAAAGAATGTCTCTGAAGCTGAAGTCTTATCGTTATTCTCTCAGTACGGAGCCATAAAGGATCTACAAATTCTAAGAGGGTCTCTACAAACTAGCAAAGGTATATCCATCATTTGATTGTGCATATATTTAGCTCTGTCTACCAAAGTTTTGACTGACTATTAGGTTCGTTTTGATTTTTTTTTTCTTTAGGATGTGTTTTTCTGAAGTATGAGACTAAAGAACAAGCGATCACTGCGATGGAAGAGATGAACGGAAGACATATAATGGAGGTGTGTGCTTATTACTACTTCAAACATTCTTATTACTTTATAAAGACTTCTATGGAGAGTGTGATATTTAAAAGGACTTTTGTTTCTTTTAGGGTTCGACTGTTCCTTTGGTCGTCAAATGGGCAGACACAGAAAGGGAAAGACAAACCCGCAGACTTCAAAAAGCTCAAACTCATGCCTCCAGACTCGGTAACCCTGATCCGCAAAATCCCTCGCTGTTTGGAGCCTTACCCATGGGTTATGTTCCTCCTTATAATGGATATGGCTATCATGTAAGTTCTGGTTCTCTAATCTACTTATTGGCACAAGTTCTTGACTGCTTTATTATAAAATCTAGCAACATTTAGTTAAAATTATTGCGATTTTCACTTGAGAAAACTATGTATCAAAATTAATATATGGAATTATGTAAATCACTCTCGAGTTTATCCGTTTGTACTAACGTTTTAGATTTAGAGATTTAAAAATGTGTAGTTGTTCCTTTCAAATGTTATATTATTTGGTTTTATTCTTAATCCATAACAGGCACCTGGAACTTATGGGTACATGCTACCACCTATCCAAACTCAACCTGCATTCCACAATATGATTTCACCGAACAACGGTAACAACAACGCATTGCCTGGAACCTCTTTGACAGAGTCTGTTCCACCGCGTTTAGCCGCCCGTAGAAACTTCCCAGTGGCTCTTGGAAATTACAACTATAATGGTTTTCAGTATCCAGTGGCGTTTCCTAGAGGGATGATCACTCCTCGCCTTCCTCTAACCACGGCTCCATTTGGCATTTCTAACAACGGCGCATCAATACCTTCCTCGGTCCAAACTGAAGGTCTAAACCTAAACAAGAAAATCTAAGAATTTGGTCCTAGGTGTGTAGTCGTTCTGTGACTGATTAAAGATTTTTTTGGTGTTCAGGACCGGCAGGTGCAAATCTATTTATCTACAACATACCACGGGAATTCGGGGATCAAGAACTCGCGGCTACGTTTCAACAGTTCGGTAAGGTTATAAGCGCCAAGGTTTTTGTAGACAAGGCAACTGGTGTAAGCAAATGTTTTGGTAAGCAAATGTCATTAAACTACATTGTTTTACCAAGACTCGAAGTAGCGGTAAAAAATAAAAATGCATCTTTCTCTGTTTGTTGCCGCAGGATTTATTAGTTACGACTCACAAGAAGCTGCGCAGAACGCTATAAACGCGATGAACGGTCGCCTAATAAGCGGTAAGAAACTGAAAGTCCAGCTTAAGAGAGATAACGGCCAACAACAGAGTAACAAACCGTTATTAAACGGTTTATTACACCCGTAAAACACCTGACCGATCTTCATCGGTAAGAGTTCACGGGCGGGAGGGGGCGGTTAACGGCAATTCGGTTTAGACATTAAAGATTTGGATGGATCTTGAATTGGGGGAGGAACTGGAGTACACAAATGGTTGGCCATTACTAGCATTTGCCACTCTGAAAAATCCAAAGTCTCATGTGGGTCAGAAATTCTCTTAAAAGCTGTAACTTCCTGCAAAAGGATTTCTCCTCCACTCACTCTTCTTCTTCTTCGTTTTTATGTAACTTTCATTTATTTAACTTGCATTGAAAAACTCATGTATAAATGTTATGATTATTAACTATTATAAATTCATTTATTCATGGCCATTCTCAAATACAGTACTAATTACAATAACTCGTCGTAATTAAAGGGTCCACATTTCATTAGCTGGTATAATTTTATTTTACTCATTTGGTAATAACTAACTAAAAGGTCAATAATTAAAATTAATAGCTGTCAAAAGAAATAAATAGAAAAAGAGAAAATATATAGGGAAATTATCACTAAAGGTAAAATAGAAAATATATATCACAAAAGGTAAAATAGAAAATATATATTACAAAG